TTACCAGTAAAGGCCATGGTGAAGGCAGTGAGTGCTTCAGTCATTTGCCCATCCTTCGCCAAAGATTCTCCTGCTGCACTCTGCAGTGGATCCAATTTTTTTTCTCATATCTGTTTAGAAGCCTTTTTTGTTGCTCTTCATCTCGCTTAATTCTGGGTGGGCTATGGCTTTCCTTTAATGACCAGTATATGCTTCCTGCTTCCAGCTCTACATTTTTATACAGAAGTGGTTAAGTCATGAAGAGACACTGACTCAATGCTTCCTCCATTTGAGCGCATCATCATAAGCAACACATGGTTTCAAGTGACTCAATTCAGTTCCCAGGGATTTCTGGGGGTATACCCCAGGAAGCTTTCTACAAACTTGAAAACCTGATTCCTAGTCAAGGCAGCAGCAGTCTTAAATATTTGAGTACGCTTGGCTGAAGTACTTCATACTTGATGATGACCTGTTGGGATTATCGAGACACAGATGACTGATAGACATTGTAAAAGGTGTTTTATTTCATAATCAGTCTCATGGAAGGGTGAGACATTAAAGATGTTTCATTCAACACCATCACATCAGAAGCTGTATTAATTCTAGTTACAATGCCTTTTTTAAAATTCTTAGCCAATCAACTACTTCCACAAAGCTCACTAGTAACTTTTTACCCCAATCATTGACTATTTTGCATTACATGACTCTGTCACAATGCGTCTCTTCTTATCCAATCATATAATGCAACAGAAACCTACATTGATACATCTTAAGCTTCCTACTAACTCTATAGCAGGTTCTATTGTTAAACTTTAAAATTTTTCACTATCTTGCTCAACATATTTTTTTGCTTTCATAAAGTATATTTCTACTTGCATAAAACATATTTCTGTTTAAACCATAAACCCACATTCTTGCTTCATGTCTGTGTAACTTTATTGTTCCAAATCTTCAAGCCTTTTGCAAGGTCTTAGGTCAAACTTTGTATCCAAACTTTGTATCTCTATCTCTGTATACACAAGGCTCTGGGAGCTTTCTGCGACTCCTTTTCCCACAATGACCTTCCCTGTATATGTTTTGGTACTTCCCAAACTGTCTCATCTTTTCCTCCTCTCCATTTCCAGTGGGTGATGAGATGGAAGCCCTGAAGTGCTAGAACCTATTCCAAGTTCCAAGTAGGGGGCTAAGCATGAACAAGTAATAAACATGCTTTAGTGACCACTCTAAATCACAGGGTGTTCAATTTTCTACTGCTCTAGATCTTCTATTATAAAGACATTACCTCTTCATCACAGCAGCTCATTAACATTCACTTTGAACATGACTCCACAAGATGTCATGGAATTCTATCACATCACAGTAATTTAGGCTCCTAAAGTGCATACCTGGCACTGATACAAACTTCTTATTTTATATTGGACAGTGAAAGTCCTCCTTGTTCCATTTTTATTCCTCACTGATAAAATAGAGTTTGAGGTATATGCACAATTTGCTCAACAAGGGTACCAAAGGTTTAAAGATTTTCTGAAGTGTTTTGCAATTCTCCCTAGCAAGGCGTTTACAGAATACGGCACTTCTCACTGAAACAAAGACCATTTTCATGATAATTAATTTTTTAAAAAACTTATTTCCAAAAGTATGAAAGATATTGCACATTCAAGTAATTTAATTATCTGCAGTATTGCATTAAACCATGGCTTTTTCCAGCAGTGGTTTCAAGAGCAGTTGGAAGTCCATGGTCCTAAAGACTGAAAACAAACAGGTTTAGAGAAAAAGAAGTTGAAGTCTGTGAAGAGTTTCAGGTATCCAGCTGGAAAAGCATCATTGGAAAAAAATCTGCAGTATCCAATAATTTTTTGTCAAATATGAGGTAAATATTAATTTCATACATTTGAAAAAGCTTGTTTATCCATTCCAAAAGCATAACATCTTTAATAACTTGAGAAAGATTAGCAAACAGCATTTCAACTTCTGAAGTCACTTAGGAAAGCGGGCAAAGTTGAAGAGGTAACCAAAGGTGTCCTCTGCAAGGAGAGCCTGGAGCTGTCCCATGCTGGGCACGACTGGTTCCAAAGATCCACCGCAGAGCACAGCTGAGCCCCTCAGCCAAGATCACAGAATCAACTAGGTTGGAAAAGACCTTTGAGATCATTGAGTCCAACCTATGACCTAACACCACCTTACCAACTAGGCCATTGCACCTCAGGGAAAACATATGCAAGAAAGAACCAAAAACTGCCTGGCAGTGAGGGGTGAGAAAAGGAGTGTGAGAAACAGCCCTGTGCAGAGCACTAAGGTCAGAGAAGATGGAGATGGGGAGATGCTGCAGGCACTAGGGCAGAGACTTCTTCACAGCCCCTGGGCTTCAATGGTGGATGAGGTAAACTGACTGATGGGCTGCCAAACACACCCCTGGATGCTTTCGCTCCTCAACAGGATGGGGGAAAAAACAAAGATGTAATATCTTGTTGGTCAAGATAAACAAGTAACCAGGAAAAGTAATGGGAAAAACTGTGACTGGATGTTGCCACAGAGGGGAACAACTCCAAGGAATCCTTTGTGGTTGTAAAGTGGTGAAGGGCCAAGGGGTGTAGTAGTGTTGCGTGTGTAAATTTTTAACCTCTGTCAGTGTTGTGGTGACATTTTGATTTAAGCGTGGGAATTTACACATACACACACCACCAACCCTTCAAGATAATGACAGTTTAATAACTAAAGCAAAATAAGGAATTTATTCACTGCCTCCCGTTAGCAGGCAGACATCCAGCCACTTCTTGGAAAGGAGGGCCTCAGCATGTGTAACTATTTACATGGGAAGACAAGCACCATCATGAATGCCTTTACTGACTTCTCCCACTTCTTCCCCCTTTCCCTGAGCTTTACTGCCAACTATTGGAGTGAAAAACGCTCGCTCGCAGTGAGAGACTTCTCCAGGGTCAAGCTGTTCAAGTATAAGCAATTTATTATAAGGGTAAAAAGAGGGGAGATCCGTGTCCGCCACCAGCCTCGGCGTCCACGTGGTCAGGGGGAGGAGGGAGAGCCCGCAGAGCAGGAGAGGAGAGGTTGGAAAAGGGGAGGGAGGGAGTAAGAGAAACAGAGTGAAAGAGGGAAAAACCAGAGGGAGAGAGCAGGGAAGACGAGAGGGGTAGGAGCAGGGAGAGGGGGCTGAGAGTTAAGAGTGGGGGAGAGGGGTAAAAGGGTAAGAGGTAAGGGGTAAGAGTTAAGAGCTAAGAGCTAAGAGAGTGAAGTTCTTGTTACAATCCAGTATCTTTTTCTATCGTGAATATTCTAATTCTTAGTAACCAATCACCATGAGACACACCCACTAAAGAATTTACATACAGCCTATTCGCTTCCCTATATTAACATACAGTGTTGCATTTTAGATTCTACAAAGCTTTACAAGTTCTTTCCTTGCTTCTTGACCTTTGGACTTTGTTTTATCAGAAGGACATTGTTTTATCAACAGGGATTCTCCTCTAGCTGGATAGGCTATTGTTCTTTGGTTAACCACTACTCAGTATCCTAGGGCTCAAAGCAGGCTTTCATTTCTACTTTGATTCTAGCCTTCATATTTTCAGAATCTAGTGCCAAACAATCACATTCATAAGGTTTCCCTGTTTCACCCTCCCCAACAGCCAACCACATCATAGAGCAGGAATACCCCTTTAGTCAGATCAGATCAGCTGTCCCAATTATGTCACCTCCCAAACTTATGCAGACCCCCAGGCTCGCTGGCCTCAGGCACGGCTTTGAGTGAATGCTTTCATGCTGAGAAAGGGCTGTTGTGAAGAAAGTTACCTCCAGCCCAGCCAGACCCGATATCATCTCCACCCCTTTTTTCATGCTACTTGTATTATGCCCAGTTCCCACACTATGCAATACATTTAAGTAATCTGACTATCCCATCCCTTCTCCTTGTCATTCCTGATATCTCTCCATATCAACATGTTCTCCATACTTACACCATACACTTTGCACCCATCAATCATAATTATATATCCTCATTAAATAATATCCTCGATCCTTTAACAGAGACCAAAGCAAATTCTCCGCATCTGTGGGAACTGAATTAGCTGGGATCTATCACCTTAGACCAGGCTCCTGTCATGGAGGAAATAAATCTGAGGCCATGGGAGGCAGGCTGCTGGGGGGATGCTAAGGGGATGCTATACATTGTGAAGTTAACCACACCCCCAGGTCTTTAGAAGCAGCCCCTCAGACAATGCGGTCACTGTGAACATTAAAAGCTATCTTTGGGCACTCCATCATACCCATTCTGATTTATTCTACCACGCTTGAGCCAACCAAACTGGGGAGAGGGGTCCCAGAACCCCACCGTGACACACACCACCAGAGCTGGCTAATAAACTGTTTCATTTAGACTTCAAAGCATAGAAAGGGCTTCACAAAGAACAAGCTGTACAAATCCTTGGTTTGAAAGACAGAATGCTACACAAAGTGATCTAGTATACCTTGCCTTCAAGCGTACATGCACATAAACGTGTAAAATCTAGAGGTGGCATCCAGTCCTTCATAGAAGAAGTCTTTGCAACCACTGAAAATGCCTTCATCTCACATCATTCTGAGAAATAAGTTTATTTCAGGAAGCAGCACAAAACACTTTCACTTTAGACTTTTCAGTCTGTATCTTCTACAGGATGATGTACCAGTTACCTTTGTTACTTTTATGTCAGTTTTCCAACTAAGCCATTATCATTGTTAGATAGCCTTCAGCAAGCACACAGAGCTAAGTTATAGTCACCACTATCCAAGCAGTAAAACCAGATGAGAGCAAAAAATACCCAAACTAAATGCAGCCTTTAATAAGTCTGTTCCTCATTTTCATCTTCTTCTGCTAAACAGAGATAAAGAATGTATCATACTAATATCCTCCCCTACTTTTTTGTTACAGATAACTGACCGCACTCACAGACATTTAAGCCAATCTTGTCCTTGCTAAGACTGGGCAAGGAAAAAAGGATTGGTTTAAAGCTGTGCCTATAAGGAAAGGCTCTTACCTGCATTAGCCCAGGGAAGATACCAGGGGCAGCTGACATTCACATAGGTGCCAGGCAGTCCATCTGGCCAGCAGGCATAATCGTCAAATGTTCTGTTGCAGAATTTGCCTTCTGCACAGAGAGAGAGAGAGAGAGAAGGGAGGGTCATGCCACTGCCTTGTACTAATTCAGCAAGAAGGAAAAAAGAACAGAATATAAAAGGAAATACAGACACATGCATTTAAGATCTGATGTGGAATTATATGGCATTTATTGTCATAAAGAATGAGTTTATCTTCGCACAAGAAACTGTTGTTTCAGGAAGGAACTAAAAAACAGATTAGGGTCTTACACTGAATCAATAGACAAGAAAGTAATGGATTCGTATTAATTTATCTATTTTTTTTACACCCTTACTTGTCACAGTTTAAAATAATTTTTGCTATAAATACTAAAGATAATAAATAATTCCTCAAAATGGTTCAAAACCATGCAGTTGTAAAGTCTACCCTAATATATAGGGCCACCAATGAAATATCCACACACAACCATAACTTTGCATTACAGCTTAATCAACATGAGAATACTTCAGATTCATTAAACTGTCATTCTTAGAAGGCAGCATTCAATTGCTCAACAGAATAATGTAGCAGAGGGAGATTAATGTGTCCCTGCCATTGTCATGACCTACTGCTCTCACTCTGATATAATAATGTAGTTAAGACAAGGAATATTAACAGTTTTGAAATAATTCTTCACAGGCACAACTTTCAACATCCTCATTGTGTCCCAAAAGCACTTGAAGCAGAGGAAAGGCAGCATGGTGTCCAATGGGAAGCATTATTGACAAGTCACCACTTGTCCTCTAACCACAGCAACACTGGCACGTCACAGATGCTCTCAGCATATTACAGCAGCTCAAACACTAAAACAAGCTACATTCTCCTTAAGTCACTATTTTTTCCAAAGCCATCTCAGCATTTTACAAGGCTCATAATAATTTATACCAGCTTTACAACCTACAGACTCCTAGTTCAATGTGAACAGCATGGTCCCAGACTTCCTAACACTTTGACCCCTAAAGAAGTTCCAGGTCTATTACATTAGTGGCTGTTTGATATGGTTACAGCTACCACTTGCCACTGCATAACACTCTGGACCTAAGGACAAACATCTTTACAATTAGATTGTCCCATAAAACGCTTCCCCCAGCAGAGGGAAGAGTCCCACAGAGAGCAGATAGGAGCAAATGGGATGAAGAAGCAATGGACCAGAAAGAAGTATTTTCAAGTTCATAATCACTCTCTTGCTACTGTTATCATGAATTTTAAAAATTAATACAGCCAATCCTTACCAAATGAGCTTACCTGGAACAATGGGGGGTGTCTCATATAAGTATTTCTGGCACTGGAGCTGATATTCCTTCCATTTCTGCACAACCTCAGAGAGGGATCCATCTGAACTCTGAAAGAGAAATCATGAGTCTCAGACATTGCAAGGATTTAAACCACAGGGTTTTTCATCCAGAATGAGTAGGTGAGTGTGAAAATTACTACAAAAAGCTAGAACAGCACTGCTTATCACAAAGGGTACAAGATGATGCTATGTATTTGCCTAATTTCCAAAAATAACCAAAATAACAACAACAACAAAATCCCTTCTATTTGCACCACAAGGAAACAAAAACCCCACAAACTCTACTGTTTCCTCACTGAAACCCACACTGAGATACCCTTGCTCTCTTGAACACTCCTCAGCTGTGTGATTTATTATCTCATGAAAAGACAGGGACAGCAGTAAGTCCTTTATTAGTAGTTTTCTTTCCAACAGCAGCATTTCTGCTTTCCCATAAAAGAAAACAAGTTAATCACTGTATTCAGCAGATATTCTCCAAGCATTCTTCTAAAATGTGGATGAAAGCTCTTCCAGACATTTTTTTTCTCTGATGAACAGCTTTTTCCTGCATCCTGCATATTTTTCCTGCAACTGCAGAAAGATCTGGAGCCTTCTTTTTGCACATTTTGATAGCCTGCAGGCCCCACCATCAGCTATCCCAAGTAGTGAGGAGGCATGGGAAAAATATGTACAAACATGATCTGAGGACAAAGGAAATTAGCTGTTATTAGAGTGAGCAGCTAACTCAGGGCTGGCTGCTCATTCAGCCAGCAGACGTCCTACGTGGCTCACAGAAATCCAGCTTTACTCACTGCATTTGAGACACTACTCCTTATCCCCCCTCTTTGTATTTGTATAAACAAAATTTAAATATCCAGATCAGGAGGCTGTAAGTGATCAACAATGCAGGTAAGACAGCCTTTTTCCAGAGGAAGCCCCATGGATGTCTCAGACACACAATCAACAACATGAACATGGTATAATACAATAATGCTGCTGAATGAAAGGAAGTTCATTTAATCCCAGATGTCAGTCGGTTTATTTAGTGAAGCATGAGGGTAAATAATCCTTGCAGTTGTACCCTCCCAGCTTTAACTGCTGATTTTTATTTTCCACTTTTGATTCTGAATCTTTTCCAGGTGGTTAGAATAAAACCAAAGTATGGGAAGAATTATTTTAAAACTAAGGAATAATTGTTGTGAGGTGCCTCAGGGAGGAAAAGATTTAGTTTCAGATAAGCATTGTTAACGTGAGAGGCATGACTGTAAGCCAAGCTAGTGTGAATTTTGACCTCCTGCTTTGGAGGATGGGCAATGTGAGCCCTGGATGAAGTTACCCCATCCCAGACCTCTTGGGAGGAGTGGCCCAGGAGTTCTGATTGGGTTTGAGTCCCTGGGGGTTTCTGCCTTGTTGTGTTTCTCGTGGTCCCTAACCCTAAACTCCACCCTCAAAGGTGGAGACCCTCAAGGGTTCTGTCCCTCAAAACCCCTCACCCTGCCTTTGTTTGGGGCTCTGTGTCTCTGAATGACAGTTTGTTCCCACGCTGAATAAATGGTTTCATGAACAGAGGCCCGTCTCATTGGTATTACATGCTGATTCCCAGAAACTGTAGCTTCCCTGGACATGATCCTGCAGTTACGGACTGCAACAATAATTTTAAAACTCTACTGCATTTCAGGAAAGTCAAACTGAATCTTGTCCACTACAACCAATATGACTAAAATTTAGACACCAATGCAATCACCTTGGTATAAAAGAACAGAAAAGACCTCTCAAATCCTCTTCTTTTATATATTTCCAATTAAAAACCCATTTGAAAAGAAATAAACCAAGCACCATATGCATAATGATTCTGCCTGGATTAACCCACTACATTTAATTACAAATATGTTCTTGCACATATGATGAAAAGTACAACATCTAGTAAATACCTATGTTGCGTTTCAAGATTAAGTACCTATAACTTGTAGCAAGGGCCTCACAGCCATAATTCTAGAAGAATTTAGTCAGCTCCCCCTGAAATAAAAAAAAATCACAAGGTTGTGGATCTCGGAAATTCTGACCCTGTTAGCCTGATTTAAATCCGATTACCTATGCCAATAAATGCTGCAAAGTCTGTATATTGTAAAACAAATGGATTCTACTGAATGGAAAAACAAACCTGTAGCATGTATTCAACATAACTCAAGAGGAAAGAAAACATGACCTAAATTATATCTCCAGGTGTGTGTACAGAAACAGATCAGTAACTAAAATGCCATTTACATATCCATGTAGGCTGAATAAGGAGAGATGACCTGAATACAGGGAGAGAATCAGTTTTCAAACTTAAGTTCCTCTCAGGCTGTCTTTATGAAGTGACTTTTAGGTCATATATGTTTTAGATTATAATGTCTTGGGTTGCAATGCAAGATGTAATGAATAGTATGTATTCTATTACCATTTGTTAAAACCAGGTGGGACAGTTTTCTTTATCTCTTCCATGACTTATACCTCATAACTGGGGGATATCTTCTGTTAATGGGCCAGCTGTTAAAACCAAGTGTGGCAGTTTTCTTTATCTCTTCCAGGACTCATGCTCTCTCCAGGGAGGTATCTTCTGTTATTGGGCCATTGAGTCAGTCACTGCATGACTGATAAAAATGAATCATCCTATTGTGAGATGCTTCAACCAGGGGGAGGAGCCATTCCTACCTGAATATAATCAGAGACTTGGAACACCACAGTCAGCCTTTCTCCACTGGATTCCCAGAGAAAGACTGGACCCATCTACACCACCACTGGACCTTCAGAGGAAAACTACACCCTTCTGCAAGTTCATTGCTTCAACAGAACCTATCTGTTCTGTTGAACCTATATCTGTTGAACCTATCTATCACTCCAGGAAGACTGCAGCCATGATTTAATTGGAGTGCTACCAACACCCTGACTAACAGGGTGTCAGGTTGTATTCTGACTCTGCTAGTAGGTTTTTTTGTACTGCATTTTTATTTAAATTTTCTTAGTAAAGAACTGTTATTTCTATTCCCATATCTTTGCCTGAGAGCCCCTTGATTTCAAGATTATAATAATTTGGAGGGGGGTGGTTTACATTTTTCCATTTCAAGGGAGGTTTCTGCCTTCCTTAGAAGATACCCATCTTTTCAAACCAAGCGAAATCAAAGAATTATTTAAAGATCTTCATTTTACAACAGTGGTTAATTGAAGTTACACAAGACTGTTTCACTATCCTCTTATCACCAGGTTAACACTCTAATAAAGGAATTAAAAGGAACATTTTCAGGATGTGTTCTTAAATTATAATTCAGTATAATTTCAGAAGTTACAAAGCATTACACATCTGCCCAAAAAGTAACTGTTGATCAAGCATGTTGATGACTACATCAAGTTAATCCAAATTTAGCTTTTAAAATTATTACAAGATATGGATGCATACAGAGTTTCATTTAGAAACAATACCTTTTAAAACATCTTGACAATATCCTAAAACTGCTTACACTAAGAAAAGTAGCTCTTTTGAAGCCAAGAAGCTTTAAAGCAGTTTTTCTAAATCAAGCTTTCATCTGTTGCCTTCATGAATGCAGGAACCCAGCTTCAGCTACAGCTTAAAGCCAGCCTCTATCCCATAATTAAATGAAAAATTAAAAGCATTCTACTTATTCTACTTATACTGGTTTTTCATAATGTGAGAAGGCAACTCTAAAGAGATTAGCAAACTGTAAGAGTGAAATAATTAGACAAGCCTTTCTGCGGAGATGACCTATTTGGTAGACAGTTTTCTATAATCTATAGTTTGTTGCAATGTGGAGGGAGGCCAGTCCTCCAAAAGGCTTCCACCTTGAAGGTCTGCTCCCTAGGATGAAACAAAACTACTTAGTCATGGTGACTAAGCTATGGACGCCTTCCTGCTTCAGGATCCCATGTTATCTCCGTGTAAACTACTGATCATTTTACTCCAGTCTTAAACCATTGGTCCTTTTCCCAATTCTCCCCTTCACTGTAACACCCCAGCTTTTGCCCAGTTCAGGGGATGTGGCCATCCATGGCCCCCTTTGTTGAAGCCTGCTAATAAAGGACTCCTTGGAATGCTACACGGTCCCCCGTCTCTCATCCATGCATCGGCTGGGGTAACCCATGAGCTGAGCTGATGACTATAAGAGCTGGAATCACATCTAAAAGAGCTGATCACTTGAATACTCAGGCTGAGCTAGTATGCATTATCCCTGGCCGGAAACTGCCTGAGACCCCTGGATGGCTGTTCCTCATGGGACCACTATCCAGGAAGTCTGCAGCAGCTGGGGGTCAGATGAACCTCTCACCGGCTGCAACATTGCAGTAAGACACTGAAACATAAATTCTAAGCCTACATAATTTATTCTCTCTGAGCAACAGTTCACTGTAATACAGCTAAATACTTTTGTTTGTTATCAGCCAAATTGAGTTCAACTTGATTTTAATATATGCTACTTTCTAATTCTCAAAGCTTATGGCCCCCATGAACAAGAATCACAAGTTACACAGTCACGGATTTACCATGTGAGTAGTTATTCAAATATGAGACTGTGTATTTTCTTGAGAAGTTATTTAAGTCCTTCTGCAACAATATACTAAATGAAAGTATACATGGCCAAGGTTCCTGGGTCAGTACCTAAAATTTGGAGCAAATGGAAAATCTATAGCTTTGTTAAACTCAGAACTATGTTTTCATTGCTGAAAACATGTAGTTGTGGGTTTACTTGGATTTTTTTTCCTGTTACATTCAACCATGGGTGGAAAACAGCAGTAGTTTTGCTGTGGTGAAAATATATCACAGAAGGATAGCAGAGGAGAGGATGGAAACACAGCTGAATGGTTAAGGTGGAGAAGTCATGAATGGTGGAAAGGGCATGAATGGATGAAAGACATAAAGGAGGTGAGTGACGGTGCTTAACGAGCATGAAACAAATGAAGAAAAATTAGGAGAGTCAAGAGGACAGACTGGGAGCCTCTCAGTGTATGTATACAATTAAGTGTGATTAATCTCCAGTGAGCACACTCCAAATTAGCACATTTAACAATCTGAAGACAGA